AAATCTAGGCCTAAGATAGCATAGATGCCTTGTAGATACTTCCCACTTTTGCATGAGGTCCTTGGTTTGAATCCCATGGCTCAAGTTGTATTTTATTTTTTAAAGGTCCAAATGTCATTTTAAAAAATAGACGTCTAGGCTTTTATTTGAGAAAATAGGGTACATGTAATTGTAATGTACTCAATGTGTGAATGTACTTACTGATTGTTTATATTAGGTATACAGTGTCTCATCCAGGACTATCAGTTCAAGGACTCTCAGTTAATGATAGAGTTAAAGTGAGTGAGAGAGACAGGGGGAGAGGAGTAATGCATGTAGAGTGTATTTGTATTTTAATGTTTCTCTGTTTGTCTCATTCACATGTTTTTTTCTTTTAGCATTTGAAACATCTCTCAACAGCTTCAAACTTGTCAACATCATAACTAACTGTACATGTATGTGTTCAATAATATTATTTTCCATTATAATGATACACCTGCACCCACACACAACTAAACATAATTCATGTGTTATAAAGAACAAATTATAAATATACAATAATTTTTAAAACCACATGCATGAATGTAAATTGGGTAATTCTCTCTCATACATGTTATTGACTGCTACTTTTGCAAGTTGAGAATAGTGAGAATGAAACAGAGCAAAATCACAGACCAGTTCATGACTTTTTGATGATGGTGAATCCCTCATAGTGAAATATTGTCTACACCACACTGTCTAAATACTCCATTATTTTGTGGTCACTCTCTCCCTTGTCGTAAGAAAATGGGTATGTCAAAAAACTAGAGCTAATGCTAATAGATCTATCCCTCATCCAAAGAAAGAATGGGGACTGGGGATCAAGGTGCTACATGTATGTAGCTATATATACTCTGAACCTATCACGTGGTACTGGGTGACAAACACACCGAGTTGCTCACAGTATGTTTGTCACCACAATACTTTCAAAGTTGCTACAATGCATGTGAAATAATTAATAAATCATAGTATAAGTCACAAGTCATTATAGTAATTATGATTATAAAAATATTTTTCTGTCATTTTAGTTTTTTTGTTAATTCATCAATTTTTTTACTGTCATAGAATTCCTTTTCTTCTCCATCTCTTATTCTCCTCCAGTATAAGCTGTTGATCATTTTATATGCAACCAAAGAACCTATGGTAACTCCTATTGGTATGCCAACAATTGGTGCAACATCTCCACCTGTTCCTCCAATTGCTCGACTGAGATAATACATTCCCATATCTTGTGACTGTCCTTTCATTCGATGAGCACTTTGGAAATTTAGAGCTCTCATATGGCAGCAATCCATTAATGTTTTTATCCAGTTATCAGTGACAGGTAATTTGATGTGCCTCTTATTCCCAGCAACACAAACTGGCATATTCATGATTATTTCCTCAGGCACATTGTATCTTTCCAGGTTTGATTGAAACTGCATGGCCGATTTTTTTATTCTTATATTCATTTTTAATTTGAGAACTTCTTCTGGGCTAATGTAACTCCTATTTTCTTCGCCTTCATCCTCTTCATCACTTTCATAATCATAAGTATCAAACTTATTGACTTGTGTTAGTACTAAGATGCAGCTCTTCCATATGGCATCATCATTCTTAAACAATTTTGCAAGAAAATCTCGAAAATACTTAACTGACTCATCAAGCCTGTCTACAAATCGCAGGCATATAAGGATTGTGAACCGATCACCAGCACATTGAACAATCTTCTGTTTAAACTTCTTCATCAACTCTTTATCATTTAGGAATGGGTCTCCCAGACCTCTTGTATCATAAAACACCACTGGTGTACCATAGACAGAGCCAGTGTGTTCTTTTATTGTATCATGTGTGCCAGGGAATAAATCATCTGGTGCTATGACTGCCTTCCTACCCAGCATTGAATTGATGAGTGTTGATTTTCCTGCTCCTGTCATACCAAGCACCATTATTGTCAATGGTGTCTTGGTCATTTCTTGTTGCGGTATGGCCAACTCATATCGGTCTATACCTTTAGGTAGTGCCTCATAACCTCTCTCACTGTCACTAGGCATATGTAGCTCACCACCATAATCAGCTGAATGAGCCATAGCCATAGCATCTTGCCCTTTAAAATATAAAGTATTGTTAATAGAATAAAAATAGTTTCATACCTTCAGTGAATATTTTCTCTTCATTTGAGTAGATTTTTGAATTTGTTTTTTTAAGCTGAGTTTTGAAATCTATTTTAAAATAAAGGTATTTAGTATTACAATTTTGTGAGCTTGACATGCCCACCATTTTCATTTAATTTATCTTTTAGTTTCCTGATTTCTTCCAAAAGCTGAGATTTTTCTACTAAAAGCTGAGACTTTTCCTTCGCAAGATCTGCTATTGCTTTGTCTTTTAAATATATATCTGTTCGTAGCATTTCTATTATTAAAAATAGCATTACATTGTTCGTGGCAAACTTAATGAAGTAATATAAATTTTACATGAGTAGAAATTGTTTTTAAAATGCACAGTAATAAAATTGTGTAAATAATAAACTGATACAGTTTTGGGATAGGAGCAAAAATTATTTATAATTATATGTATATACCTCACCCTTGGGCCCATAAACTACGCCAGCTCAATGTCCACAAATTCACCAAACACAATGCAATCGCAAAATATACATGTGGAACATTACCAAATTCACCTGTCCCCTAAATTACCAACTATGGTACTCACTGCATGGTGTGATATAACATTATAATTACCTTCAACTACCTCTTGATTCTGCTGCTTAGAAAAATATGTATCAAAGATAGCTTTTTTTTCTTGAAGCTCAAATTTAAGCTCTATATGCATGTAAAATATAGAGTAAAATAAAGAGCATCTCTTGCTGCATCATGTTGTGATGAGAGAAGTTTCATAGTATAATGTCAATAGCAAATTACTGTACATTTTGTTTCTTTGGCCCCAAAAGTTTTTAACAATTAAAATTTAAAACCCAGCAAGTAAGCATGACAGGGTTATCAATAAAAATCAATGAAATTACCGTATAATGCTTTAATTTGGCGTAGTTTTATTTTGGCGATTGGCGGTTTGCAAGCAGAATCGCCAATACCGTATTTCCTCTAAAAATTTGTCACATCAAGTTTTGTATTTGTAATTTTTAAAAACGAATTTTTAGAGGGAGAGTAGCTATGAAGCTCAAAAATAAATTATTTTGTCAAATTTGGAGGGATCCATTAATACACGAAACCAGCTGTATACTAACCTGGCTATTCAGAGTATCCTTCTCTCATACTGAACTTAGGTAAGTGATGAAATTAGAACCACGTGGAACAATAATATTAAAAACAAATTTTTAGAATGAATTATGGTAGAAATTTTGAAATAATTATTTATTTTTGAATTTAGAGCGTTGAATATTTAGAGGAATTACGGTATTAAAACCACCAATCATTAATGCGCATGCTCAGTAATGCACGTGTACACAAAAATCGCCAAATTAAAAACCACCAATTACAATTTTACAGCAAAATCACCAAAATAAAGCGTTATACGGTATCTTGTACAACTTGCTTGGTTATAAACGATGAAATAATTATTTTGGGAAAAAAAATTTTTTCTGCTATACTGTATACCTTGTTCTTCTTTGACATCAGGCCCAAGTTGTTTGGGTAATTCTTGTTCTTTTATCAATGCTAGCAATCTTTCTGATAACTCTTGCTTTTCTACATAATTAAAATCATTCATAGAAATAAACTCATGCTGCTACCTAACTTACCTTTAGCTATTGCTGACTGTTTCTGGAGTGATTCGTATAATTTCTTTGTTAACTCAGCAAGTTCTCTATCTTTTTCTATTATTTTCAAAAATCATAGCAACAGTTCATTTATGAACTTATACCTTTTTCAAAAGTAGTTTTATGACTGGCAATAAGTTCTAATACATCTTCTACATGAGTATATAGTTAAATAAATATAAAAAATAGCTATTACTTTCCAGTTGAAGTTTTTGGTCAATCAATAATGTAACAGGATGAGCCACTCCTTCCAGTGGTACTGAGTAATGTAGTGTAGGATCAGCATTAGGTGATGCATGTACTGATACCAGACAAGATGGAGGAAGAGGATAAATAGCTTCATCAAATTTATCAATGTCATCTTGATGTAACTATAACATAATAAGTTTTATACACATAATGTATATAATTCAATACTCACTCTACATGGTTCAACTAATGGTTGTACAGTCCATGGG